CCCCCCAAACCCCCCCCAGCACCCCCAAATTCCCCCCTGGGGAGGGGTCTCCCAACAACCCCGACCCCCCCTGTTGGGTCACTGCTCTTTTATTCCTCCACCGTTTTTAAAAAGAAAAAATTAAAAATTAAAAGTAAAATTTAAATTAAAATTTAAAATTTAAAGTTTAAAAATAAAATTTAAAATTTAAAATTAAAATTAAAATTTAAAATTTAAAATTAAAATTAAAATTAAAATTAAAAACTTAACTTAAAATTTAAAATTTAAAATTTAAAATTAAAATTTAAAATTTAAATTAAAATTTAAAAATAAAATTTAAAATTTAAAATGTAAAATTAAAATTAAAATTTAAATTTAAATTTAAATTAAAAATTTAAATTAAAATTAAAATTAAAATCTAAAATTTAAAATTTAAAATTAAAATTAAAATTAAAATTTAAAAATAAAATTTAAATTAACATTTAAAATTAAATTTAAAATTTAAAACGGAAATAATTTTAATTAAAATTGAAATTGAAATTTTAATTGAAATTTTAATTGAAATTTTAATTTAAATTAAAAAAAAAAAAAAGACAAATGGAGAAAAATTGGGGTGGGGGGCTCCAACACCGAGAGGGGAGGGGGACACAGGGGGGAGGGAGGGGGGGCACGGCCCCTTTTTGTTTATTTTTTTAAGCCCCCTCCCCTTTTTTAAATCCCATTAAAAACCGGGAGCGACCTCGGGATCAAGGACACGAACCCCAAAAAAATAAAAAGCAAAGAAAATCAAAGAAAAAAGGAAAAAAAAATTAAAAATTTAATTTTTTAGAGAAAAAAAATGGGAAGAAAAGAAATTAGAAATGAAAGGAGTGAAATAAAATGGGAGAAAAATGGAAAATAAAGTGATAAAAAGAAATGAAAGGAGTGAAAAATTAAATAATCCCGAAAAAAAGAAAGAAAAAAGAAGTTAAAAGAGGAATAATAAATGAAAAATCAATAAAATCAAATGGAATAAATGAAAAAATGGATAAAATCGAAGAAAATAAATCAAAAAGTCAATAAAACCAAAGAAAATAAACGAAAAAATGGGTAAAATAAAAATTTGATAAAATGAAATTAAATAAACCCCCAAGAAATCGATAAAACCAAATAAAACAGAGCAAAGAAATCGATAAAATCAAACAAAATAAACCAAAAAAAGATCAATAAAATCAAATAAATGAAAAAAATCCATAAAATCAAAGAAAATAAACCCCCAAAATTTCAATAAAACCCAATAAAACAAACAAAAAAAATCAATAAACAAAACCAAACATTAAAACTGAAAAAAAATTCTTAAAAAATCCCAAAAAAGCACCAAAAAATCCAAAAAAAAAATCCCAAAAAATCATCAAAAAATCCCAAAAAAAAAAATTTAAAAAAACCCAAAAAATCACCAAAAAATCCCAAAAAACCACAAAAAATCCCCAAAAATAATAAAAAAATCAAAAAACAAAATAAAACAAAAATCACCAAAAAATCCAAAAAAAATCCCCAAAAAATCCCCCCCAAAAAATTAAAAAAAAACCAAAAAATCACCAAAAAATCCCAAAAAAATCCCCAAAAATTCCCAAAAAAATCCCCAAAAAATCCCCCCCAAAAAATCCGAAAAAATCAAAAAAAAATCCAAAAAAAAAATGAAAAAAACCCCCAAAAAAATCCCAAAAAATCCCAAAAAAATCCCCAAAAATTCCCAAAAAAATCCCCAAAAAATCCCCCCCAAAAAATCCGAAAAAATCAAAAAAAATCCAAAAAAAAAAGAAAAAAAAACCCAAAAAAATCCCAAAAAATCCCAAAAAAATCCCCAAACCTCCCCCCAAAAAAATAAAATAAAACCAACACCCCCCCCCTTGCTCCAAATTACGAGTCCAGCTCCAACCCCCTGAGTTCCTCCTCCAGCGCTTTCCTCCTTCCCAACTTTTCCAGCTGCTCCTTGGTGGGCTGGGGGATCCCCCCTCCCTCCATCCGCTGCTGCAGCTCCTCCACCTGCCTCAGCTTCTTCCTCAGGCTCTTGATCCGCCGGTTCCTCTCGTTACTCCTCTCGTTACTCCTCTCGTTATTCCCGGGATGATCTCCGGCGTTTTCCGAGCTTTTTTCACCTCCCTTATCCCCGGTTGTTGTTGCTGTCCCACCTCCTG